ACTTTCTTCACCATATTTGCTTATGCACCCATTTTGTCTCCAGCGGCCATGTTTGGAAGGTGAGCATCACCTAATGCCGGGTTATTAGAACAAAGTGTTCTTGCATTAAGGGAGTACTTGAGTAGAGACTCAATGTCCATCTGCTAAAAGTATTGCTATAAAATCATAGAAACCTTTATGAAACAAAAACATAAAAATGTCCAGCAGACAGGCCTGGAACTATAGGTTTTTTGTTGTTGTTGGTATGTCTGTCTATATAAGATAGGCAGGATTAAAAGTCCCAAGGAGAAAACATGGAGCTTATGGCTGGCAGGGGGTGGAGGGTGTTGGGGGGGACTTAGGAGAGGAGGAGGCTGGGAAAAGCGAGGGGAGAACCAACAAACTCAGGGTATAAGGGAACAAGAAGGGATCTAAAATTGATAATGAGGGCGCAGATCTGGGCAGTGGGGTTTGATTTGGGCAGTGTAGCCGAGAGGAATTGCTGAGAGCCGACTGAAGGTCGAACATGATAGCGGGACAGAAGGAAACTAAAAGGAAATAGAGGAAAGAACTAAGAGGCAAAAGCCATTTCTAGAGGTATAAATATAGGCACGCATATATGTAAACATATTAATATTTAGTGATAGGGATACAGGTCTATGTACACATTTATATGTTAAGTATAAATGGACTTTGGGCCTCTACTCAAGCCTGCCCTCAATGCAAGAACACTTTGTTTTAATAACCTAGCATTCTGTGATGTTCACCTTCCCAACAGGACTGGTGAAGACAAAATAGTGTATACACAAATGTGAAGAAAGTTGATGGTGCCTGACTATTAAGTGATATAGTGCCTGGGGTCTTAAAGGCTTGAAATTAAACGAGCAGCCATCTAGCAGAAGCAGCAAAACCCACATAGAAAAAGCACACCAAAAAAAAAAAATTTTAAAGGAAAATCACACCAGCCCATGGGGTCAAAAGGTGTCAGTGGAAGCAGGTGTCAGGCATCAGAAGATCCAAAATAAATAATTATTTTTATGCGAATGAGGGAGACCTATCGCCCATCTGTAGACAATTGGACATCCCCTCATAAAAGGTCACAAGGAAGGGCTGAGTTAGCTAGGGTGCAGTATAAGCATCTATGAGACACACAACATTCCTCTAGTTCTTTAGTGCTTCCTCCCCTAACTATCAAGACTCTAGTTCTACCTTAAAAGCTGGCTAGATTGGAGTATGTACACTGGTACAGATAAGAGCTCTTGGCATATGAAATCCAGGACAGATAAACCCCTCAGGAACAGTAATGGGAGTCGGGATACCATGAGGCTTGGGCGGAGGTGGAAGGAGAAGGGTGGAAAGTGGACAACCTATCCCAATGATCGACTTATAACCTTCCCCAAGGGGGCCATATAACAGTCACGGGTGAA